CGTGTGTCCCAATGCATTTCTTGAATTATGGTTATACATACAATATTTCTTACTTCAACATTTCTCACTTACATAGTCTAGTAGCCAGTGTTTTTTGAGAATTAACTTGACAAGCTGTGGTAATAATGTGCTTCTTTAACGAAGCCTTATTTAGAAGTTCATCGCAGTTAATCAGTGCGAGCGGAAGTAGCACACATGTAAGAAGCTGCAAACTCATTGGAAGACTTTCAAAAAGTGGGGACCTTATAAATTGCTAACAGTGAGAACCTTTTTCACGTACTAGTATGTGGCTACGTTCACATGCAGAGGAAAAATCGGCCAATGAGATATTGTAGAGTAGTGAGACGACTTTGTGGAACTTTCATCTAGCGCGTATGTTTCTCTCTAATATTTTTTTCCTTCGGACGACCAACAAAGTGTTGTTAAATGTATTCTTTTAGTATGATTTGATGACACAGTTGCTGATAGTTACTGATATTATGTATGCGCAATATTCATGATATTTTCTGCATCATCAATATGCTCCACATTTCAATAGAAGTGTAAACTAGGATGACTGAATTTATTGAATACCTAAGTCATATATGGCCATACATGTTAATTATGTAAGTGCTTAACTTATGTAGCTGAATTCAGTCAGTCACTTTTAGGAATGTCGAGTCGTAATAAGGTCTGTCTGCTAGTTAAATTCAGTGGAAGCAGACATAGTCGCATTCGAACAAAGACATCTGAAAAACACCGACGAGTGTTTTATGACATCTGACCAGATACATTTTCATAATCAGCTGTAGTAATCGATTTTGCATGCAACAACAAGCGAAGGTTAGTTCAGTCATTCACTTATAACCATGCAGATATTCTTTGTTCCACTTTGTCATGCCGAATAACTTTGGGTGTGGGCATACAGTTTTGTTTACTTGAATTGAGTAAGAATTTAAACGTGATGCAATTTGGAGACTGGGCAGTTTCCGTCAAATAATGGGAGATACTTCTCAAGCGAAGACTTTCATCTTGGATTGTGCTCAGCCTATACTTGATGATAAACTTGTTTGCTTTGCAGTGAAACGAAACGTTTTATCTAATATTCTTGTGTTCTATTTGTTCTGCATGCGGTGGAAGTACAACATGCTAGACCTGTACTCCCTGGGATGTGAACTCGTTACTATACGTAATTGTAATTATGTGCGAACACTATCGATCGATATAAGTAGTGAATTATAAGTGCTTTAGTCAAGCCTAAATATCTGCCTAAAATTATGCGATTACGTCTCCTAGCCATAGGTAAATCTGTAAGGACCAATTACAAAATAACCTAACCTCTGTATCTGAAAAATGAGAATAGAACTTAGGCACTGCGGTAAGGTTCGATTTCGTATGAGATTAAGTGCATTCAAAAGTAGTGCATTACTATTGTTTCACTCAAAGCGTAATGTCAATCCATATGATTATACTGTACAATAAGTCTACATGAGACGAATAATTGAGTAGATGGAGCTGTGGCAATCGTAGTAATACTTTGCTCACCCTGGATTATGCCACCATGTATTTTCTCAGGTCACATTGATAAGTCAAGCCTCCATCTCGTAATGATGAAAATTTAGTTTTACTCAGAATAAGAATATGGTAAGCAGGATGTTAAATATATTTGATGAAAAGTAATAAGCAAATATCTGTACACAATTGTTTGTCATAATTATTTCGGCGGTAATGAATTGCTTTGACCAGGTTGACTGACGTTACAGAAATTCTGCAAATAAGTGAACAAGGTGTATTTTTGAATTTGTTGCAGTTAGAAAAAAGTAATTTAAAATTTAAACGCTTCATTTTTGTCTACTTTTGCTGAGAAGGTTCATTCTCCTTCCTCATTCTTTGGTCATGACAGCATTCTTCTGCGGTTTTCACTATCCTATACATTGTTCCTCTTGTCAAGTATAGCACTAAGCAAATAACTCATTGATGATTTGGTATCATTCTGAACTTTGGAAGGTAGTTTACACATCTAAAATGCAGTAATTATCGAGTCTTTAGTAGCACTTACTTGTAGACTATCTAAGCGTTTCCTCTGAAAAGTTTTCTCATCAAACATTTGTATCATTACCATTATTTTGCTGGGAAATTTTAAGTCGAACTTCTTTTCATCACCTGTGCCTCATGGGATAATACCACCCATAACTACACATCCAATATCCAATATCCTGATTACGAGCTAGTATAAACCAGTGATTTCTTTGAGCTCGCTTCTTGATTTTAAGGTAGAGGTTCCAGATCTTCGGTGAACTTATGCGTAGTAAATCCCGCCACTCGACTGCTTTAGCTCTGGTAGACTCCAGGAGGAGTGATGCGAGGATTGGTCAAGATTGTGGTTTGTAGTGTGCAGTATGTTAGGACTCAGCTGCTGCCGTGAATGGAGTTTGACCTAACACCCGTCGGTCATTCGGTATAGTCATAAAAGTAGAGTAATAATAATAATAATGATAATGATAATAATAGGTTGTAGTGTAGATAATATAGGTTGAGATAAGTGAAATAATAAAGAAAGAAAGAAAGATAGAGTAGTCGGTACAGTGGGAGAAGACAGGACGGGTCGTGAAGATTTAGCTTGTATGCTTATCCATTGACAATGTGGTTTCAAATTTTAAGAGGGTAAGCCATTGAGACACAAACCATGCATTTCTGCATGATTGTCCAGCTTCCGCTTAAAAATCTCCACAGATGGAGCTGTAGTTACGGCCGCCGGTAAAGCGTTCCAGAGACGGCAAACTCGAAGCGAGAAGAAATGTGAACGCACTCGAGTCCTTGGTCTCTGGTGTGCTATCCTTAGCGGGTTACCTCGTGGAAGCCTATAATCACTTAATGGCAGGATGCTCTTGTTAGGATGGGCCTGGTCATTTAGGATCTTATAGACGGTGATGAGGTCTCCCCTGTGACTACGGTAACTAAGTGTGAAAAGACTTAATTTCTTCAGTCTCTCCTCATATGATTTGTTGCGGAGGCCGATCACCCATTTTGTCGCTCGTCTCTGGACACTTTCTAGCATGTTAGCATCCCTTTTGAGTAGCGGAGGAGCAATGATATTATGCACCTCAAGGAGTGGCCTCACGTATGTCGTATACAACGTTAGGAATAGTTCAGGAGTAAGAGCTCCCAGTTGCCTATGCATAAAGTGTAAAGTGCCGTAAGCTTTGGCGACGTCCCTCGTGTAATTTACACTGGTGTCTAGCTTTTCTGTTAAAATAAGGCCTAGATCGCGTTCTGATGGCACACAACTCAAGTTCTGGCCACCAAGGGTGTAATTTGCACTCTGTGACCTGCCGGAATGAAGTTGCACTACTTTGCACTTCTTTAAGTTGAAAGGCATTCCGTTAGCCAGAGCCCAGTCCCCCAGCGTTTGCAGGTCAGCCTGCAATCTGTCGGAGTCTTCCGATGAGTTTATTGCTCTCCAAATCTTTACGTCGTCAGCGTAAAGAAGCGCAGAGCAATTCAGTTGACAGGGCAGGTCATTGATAAAAATCAAAAACATCATC